AGAAAAGGCTGCTCACATCTGCATGGGTGCGATTTGTCATTATGCACAACAGCATATGCTGCTGACTAACTGCATTAGGCGTTAACACAATATTTGGGAGGATATAACGTTACACCTTCTGCCAGACATGCTGACATCCACAAGGATTTTACCCAGCATGCAGCAGGAGAGGTTCCACCACTACATCTCTGGGGATCACAAGTGACCTGAAGAGGACATCAGGCGGCGGCTGTTTGTCTCCTCACTATGAGGCCTCGGCAAAGTTAAAAATGAACATTTCACAGTTAATATCAGAAACAAATTATAACAAATAGTCTAAAATATGTATTTACTCGTGATCATTAAGCATCATTGTGATGAAAAAGACAGATAGGTTGCTGTTTTATTCTAAGATATACATTAAAGGGTATTTCCGGAGTTCATTATAAAGGAAGTAAATAAAATGAGGCAGTGAAATTGTTTAGCTGAGGACAGAGCTCCCTCTGGTGGCTGAGTGCCGCTAGTGCTACAGTCAGATTGCTGTGAAATGTAATCAGTAACTGAGTACAAATTACATAGCTGTTGTTGTCATTAGTAACAAAATACATCAGATTACAAAGTCAAATTGTAATCTTATCGAAATACTTTTGGATAGTTTCTAAATCAAACATAAACACACAAAAAAACATTTTAAAGGCAAATAAAATTCCTTTTGCATTTTCAGCATTCACTCTTTGTACCAGTACTTTTTTCGTACATGTACAGTCAAAAAAATGTATTGGTACAAACTCCAGGTGTGCTGGTTCTATTCTACGACAAATGGGATGCTGTTTATTTTAGTTTGAATGTTTGTTGTTGCTGCTTTTTAATCAAAGGCCACATATCCACTGCCCAGCATGTCGGTTTGACTCCTACGCAACATTTAATTGATATTATCCATAAGGCATGCTTAAAATGTATGTAATGTCACCAATTACAAACTTGCAATCTTAGAAGAGTGATATACAGTAAAACATTTCCCATAAAAATGTAAATGTTATGTTAGTAACATCTAGTTTCACATTCTTTAAAATATAATGTTTTAATGTTCTTATTTTTTGTGCTCTGATTATTAAATCATGTATGATCCAACAAAGATTACAGTTAAAGCTAAACAAGTACAAATATTAACTTTCAACCAGGGTAAAACAAATCAAATAATTTAAAAAGTAAGTCACAGATATGTTTTTTTTAATTGTCTCACGTGAAGTGGAGTATGGAGCTCTTCTGTGTAACAGTGAGGGTAATAGGTGCAGTTGGCGGTGTTGTGTTTTATCCCCCACTGCTTCCTTCATTACAGACGGTGGTTGCTTTGCAGCAGCCAATTAAAAGCAAATACCGTTCTCTCACATTTCACCACCATTGTATTTACTTGTGGATCAATTCCCTTTAGTTGCACCATTTCACATAATGAATGCAGAGGCTGGTGATGTGTTTGCACCGCAGGAGGGCGGCCTGCTGCTTGCACCTTATTGCCGTGTACAGTAGCAGTTAAAACTCCAGGCCATGTTAAGTCTGCATGGTAACAAAGCGGCATCTTGTAAATGAAAAACATTGATAACACTGGTGTTTGTTAAAGCTGTAGGTAACTGCAATTTTTTTATATAGTTAGTGGTTACAATCATGGTTCATTATGAGCATTTTGTAAATTTCTCTTAAAAACAAACCAGAGGTTATATTCAAAGATTTAAAGGCTTCATTTTCATATGCAGCTGTTGTTGGCAATGTTAAATCCCAAGCTCCTCCAACAGTGTGACGTACAATATACCTAACACATAAACAGAAATAAGGAAGTAAACAGTGCAAGAGACGCAGAATACTTGTATATGCTGCACTTGCTCTTTTGAACCTTTTGCATATCATGTATTTTGTTTTTGCTATGTTTCTAAAATGTAAACTTCTTAAATGTTTTATGTGAGGGACTGCGGATGGAAATGAGCTCAAAGCTAAATCTGGCACTGTTACGCTTGACACATTTTAATGTTTTAAGTGTTCATCACTGTGCATTGTCCCTGCCAAATAAACGATTAAAAAAGTGGTGCAAGTCGAATGCAGGATTCTGTAAACTGAGAACATGTTAAATAGCATAAGATAAAACTGAATGTAAAATGAAATACTGTACAGTGGAATACAGTACTACTTATTGTAATAATATATAAATATGTGGACTGTAAACAGATGTATGTGCTATAAACATGAGTACGTGAATACACTTCAGAGTTATTCAACAGACTATCAGCATAGTAACACCAATACAGGTGAAACACAACTAACCAATGAGTCCATTAGTGGATATTGTGCCATCTCTATAGCCTGTGTGTGCAATACACTGTATACTTCCACCTTTAATACTTTCACCTGGCTGCTATTTCTCAAAACTGTTACTCGATGTGCATTTTATAAATATTACTTTTATCTTTAAACATTTGTATGCATGCTTCTTAATGAATCATCAAGCTATCTTTGGCTCTTTACTTGCTGTAACAAATGTAAATGTCCCCTCTGTGGGACGAATGAAGGTGACTCTGATAAGGATTATTAGCCACAATAAAATGTGTGATTTGACTATTCCTTCAAACTGCAGGCTGTTATAGGTGATTATTTGATAAATCAATCAAATGTGCGATAGACAGATTTGTTGTAGCCCTTTATGATAAAATCCTCTCATAATGTGTCTAAGAAACTATAATAAATAGTTGTCAGAATAATGAAGTATACATTCATTATATATTTTGTTGAGTTGTGAGCTTACATTATTCCAAATGTTACTGTTACTATTTTAAAACTTGTATTCAAATTGGTGTTGTCTGCCAGAAGCTGTCATGAATTGACTTCCAAGTACAAACCATAGACTGTATATACAAAGAACAACACCTCAAATGTGACTTAACTACAGGTCGTTTAAGTAATGTAATACGTTTCTTTCAACCAGTCTTAGCAA